ATCGCTGAAGTTTCTCGGAAATAATTTATACGGGAAATTAACAAACGACCAGAGACGCAACAAATTAATGTCAGAAGTGGGATGGAAAAGAAACAAAAAATGGAAACAAGAAGTGGCAAATCAAAGTACTAATTAGCAGATTTGATGTCAGCAATACAAGAACAGCAGAAGAAACGAGAAGAACGAGAAAAGAAACAAGAAGAGACACAACAGCAGTGGCAAGAAAACCTGCAACAGTGGCAGCTCGAACAGTAAAATAAACATGAGAGATTACAGCAGTTGTTGGAGGAAATAAAGGACCAAGAAGAACGAGAAAAGAAACAAGAAGAAACACTACAGCAGTGGTTGGAGGAGAAAGAAAATAAACAAGAAGAGAGACTACAGCAGTGGCAGGAAAACAAGCCCCAGTGGCAACTGGAATCAGAAATGAAACAAGAAGAACGAGACAAGAAACAGGAAAAAAACCTTCAACAGTTGAGAGAAAGCGAGCACACACAAATGGAAAAGATTAGTAAATTTCAAAGTGAATTAAAGGATGATTTACTGTCTCTTACACAAGGAGGATATATTAGCCATACACCTAATCAGCCCCAGACAACAGGAAGCCCCTTTGAGGCTTCGCAGCTAAACCCTAATGCAAACATCTTCAGTCCTGTCAGAAGTCACATTCCAGCAATAGGGGTGATCTAGTACGAAGGACGCCACATGAATTCGGTGGGAAGCATATAGAGCACAATTTGAGCTCCTGGTAGAGATGAAGAGGAGCAGAAAGCAGTGTACCTGGCAACAAGCCTGAAGGTACAACCACTGGAAATACTTGGACAGTTGTCAGCAGACGACAGGCACAACTATAGAGCACTGGTAGCTGCTCAAGAGCTCAGGTATGGAACTCAAAATCAGTCTGAAGTCAACAGGACTAGGTTTAGGACGAGAGTCCGAGCAAAAGGAGAGAACCTGCAAGAGCTGGCACAGGATTTGGAAAGTATGTCACACAAGGCCTACCCAACTACACCACCTGATCTCCTCAAGTTGTGCTGAGGGATCAGTTCGTAGATGCCTTGGACAGTCCACAACTGAAGATACAAGTAAAGCAAGCACACCCACCTACTATGCAGGATGCAATGGCCAGAGCTCTTGAATTCGAATCCTGTGTTGAGTCCAGCACAGAGGTACCAAGATTGGTACAGTTATCAGGATTCAAGGCCAGAAAAGGACAGCTTTCAGAGAAATTTGAGGAACTTTACTGGCACTGTAACAAACCAGGGCACAAGAAAGCTCAATGCTGGCAACTTCAACACAGGAAGATGCCACAACAGGAAAGGCTGCTACCCAGAAAGGTTGTTGGAACTGTGAAGAGCAAGGACATATGAGGAGCCAGTGTAAGAGGAATACTACCAATAAGTTAGCTTCGGGAAACCAGTAGTGGTTGGTGCTGAGGGACGCCCACCAACCCCCATTGTGAAAGTCCCAACAGTTAAGTGTAAAATGGCAAGCACACATAGTGTCTACGTGACAGAAAAGCTGGATGGCCAAAGGTGCAATTTTGTCATAGATTCTGCATCTCAGCAAACTCTTGTGAATATCAAGGTGCTAGATCACAAAGGAGTACCAGAAGCAACACAAAAGCTCTGTGGTGTGACAGGACATTATGCAAGGTTGTGAGGACCAGTGTGGGTAACTATTGACCTCTTGGGCATAAAGGACAGACATAAAGTATACTTGGCTGACAATGAAGACCAATGCATATTAGTTAACTTCGATAACATGACGTTTGGGCCAAATTCCGATAAGTGTTGCTGCATCTGTTGATGTGCTTGTTACAGCACTTAAGTCAACTACAATACCCCTATGTCAGAGAAGATAATTTGGAGTAGAATAAAAGAACATCCCCAACGAAGCCTGATGCTTGTGAAAGCAGTGGAAGG